AGGTGCAGGAGATAATGGAACACCTGTCCATCTCCAGTGATATCATTGATCATAATAAAAATATACCTCTTTCAGTAGGAGAGTGGGGAATTATGTTAGATGCAGGGCCGGCTCCAAGTTTTTTGCCGCCCTAAGCAAAAAAATTTTCCTGGCCCGCCCCAACTCTGCCCCTTCCTCGCCTCATTCCAACCCCTTCCCCAAATCCCCAGCGCCGCCTCCTCCCCTGGACGCGCCGCATTTCCCTTCCTTCCTCAAATCCCCGGCCCTGCCTCCTCCCCTGGTGGTGTGCTCAGAGGAGGAGGCGGAGGTGAGTTGGCGGGGGGGGAGCAATTCCTCTGCCCCCCCAGGGTTACTTCCTGTGGCCCTCCACGCGCCCACCACCGCCTCAGCTCACCTCCGCTCTGCCTGCTCCCCTGAGTGCGTCACTTCTCCTCCATCCCTCTCAGGCTTGCTGCAAAACAGCTGATTCGCGCAGCAAGCTTGGGAGGGAGGGGGGAGCAGCGGCGGCACGCTCAGGGGAGCAGGCGGAGCGGAGGTGAGCTGCGGCGGGGGGGGCAGTTCCTCTGCTCCCCCCCCAAGGTTACTTCCTGCGGCCCTCCCCGCGCCCCCACCACCGCAGCTCACCTTCGCTCAGGGGCTGGCTCCCGGCTTTTTGCGCCCCAAGCAAAAAAAAAAAAGGAGCCCCTTGGAAAGTGCCACCCCAGCACGTGTGCCTAGTGCCTAGAGCCGGCCCTGATTGTGGATGAACAAAAGGCATTTCCATTCATCAGTCAAGGGAGTTACAGGCATGAGCAAGTATTATGCTTATTTTTGATAAAACACTTGATAGAAGTTTCAGGAGTGAAGAATAATAATTTAAGGGAAGTGTATTTAGTAAGAGTGTGTCATATGGTGTTACTTCCTTTTGGGTTGTGGTTATAAGAAAATGATTTAAGTAGGAAGGCAAAGGAATTAATATCCAAGTCCTTCACACTTCCTCTCTGCAGCCACATGCACAGCTGGCTAAACAAGGTTAAACACAAACTAAAAGAGGATATATTTATGGGAGCCCACTGTTAAAATATTGACAGCACATGTTTATGGGTTTTATTGCTACTTCTGTATTTCACAAGTGTATAATATTTCAGATCTAAAACACTTTGGAGTATTATTGGATTAAGGTCACAACATCCTGGAGAGATATGTAGGTAAATATTTCTATTTTACAAATGTGGAATGGAAACTGAGTTTATTCTGCGTCTTACATTGGGCAGTAGCTTAGTCTGTGTGTAGTTGCACTGGTTTCAGTGGGACTACTAAAGGAATAAGAAGCTACTCAATGAGTTAGGGTGACAGAAAAAGGCTGTAAGCAAATTTGAGCAAACGCTTGTATACCAAGCTGATAGCAGCCAAGGAGAGAATACCGTGATTTCTTATTGCGCTAACCGCTGGGCCACCAGTCTTCCCACTTTCTGAATGCTGAGGCAAAATGTAATCCATCTCTAGGCAGGCATTATCTAGTAATCACTCTGAGTACTCAACTATCCCCGGTTTCTATATCTTTTTATGTTGAGGGTTTGGAATAAACTCGCTAGAGCTGGTGGATATAACAGGCACCTGCCATTCAGGCAAAATGAGGGGCTGGTCTTCACTATGGCGCTGCTGCAATCGATGCAGCAGGGGTCAATTAAGCAGGTCTACTTAAGACCCACTAAATTGACGGCAGAGCGCTCTCCAGTGGTCGACCCTGGTACTCCACCTCTCCGAAAAGAGTAACGGCAGTCGACCAGAGAGCGTCTCCTGTCAACGCAGTGCGGTGAAGACACAGGGGTAGTTGACCTAAGCTACATTGACTCCAGCTACATTATTCATATAGCTAGAGTAGTGTAACTTAGGTCGACTTACCCCAGTAGTGAAGACAAGCCCAAGGAAATAATTAAATGACCTATTTTATAAAGATTGCTGAAAAAATAAGAGCCACCACCCAAAACACAGATGGTATGTAAGGGTGC